ATATAAAGGCATTTTAAACCCTTCCCACACTCTTGCAATATTCTAAACAATGTTTCTAACATGTTTCTCATCTGTAGAACAGTAACATGAAATATGAAAAACTGAAAGCAAGGGTCACACTTTGCTTGTTACATGAACTTAATAGTTCATTAAATTGTCCTGGATATGTTTTTTATAAGCAGCTGTTAATTTTGTATCATTTCACGGTAAAACCTTTTCTATCTAGATTTTATGGATCTGGTTTGAATTTGATAGCGGTTTATCTATTGACAGAGGTGCAAACTGAGACGAGAGCAGAAAACCACACTCACACCCCAACTTCAGCTTTGAGGAACACCAAATAGCTTCTCACACTAGTTGTGTGAATTTTTATAAAGCATAAAGCGTTTTTCTTCCATCCATTTTTTTTTGCATCTTTCTCATTCCACAATTTTTGTGCAAATCATAAATCAAAATGTTCAGCTCATCCAGGAGAAGGGTGCTATCTACAAACCGGATTCCAAAAAAATTGGGACACTAAACAAATTGTGAATAAAAACTGAATGCAATGATGTGGAGATGGCAAATGTCAATATTTTATTTGTAATATAACCTAGATGACAGATCAAAAGTTTAATCTGAGTAAATGTAACATTTTAAAGGAAAAATATGTTGATTCAAAATTTCACAGTGTCAACAAATCCCAAAAAAGTTGGGACAAGTAGCAATAAGTGGCTGGAAAAAGGAAATTGAGCATATAATGAACAGCTGGAAGACCAATTAACACTAATTAGGTCAATTGACAACATGATTGGGTATAAAAAGAGCTTCTCAGAGTGTCAGTGTTTCTCAGAAGCCAAGAAGGTAAGAGGATCACCAATTCCACCATTGTTGTGCAGAAAGATAGTGCAGCAATACCAGAATGGTGTTACCCAGCGTAAAATAGCAAAGACTTTTAAGTTATCATCATCAATCGTGCATAACATCATCAAAAGATTCAGAGAATCTGGAACAATCGCTGTGCGTAAGGGTCAAGGCCGTAAAACTACTGGATGCTCGTGATCTCCGGGCCCTTAAACGTCACTGCACCTCAAACAGGAATGCCACTGTCAAGGAAATAACAGAATGGGCTCAGGAATACTTCCAGAAAACATTGTCGGTGAACACAATCCACCATGCCATCCGCCGTTGCCAGCTGAAACTCTACAGTGCAAAGAGAAAGCCATTTCTAAGCAAGCTCCACAAGCTCCGATGTTTGCACTGGGCCAGGGGTCATTTAAAATGGAGTGTGGCAAAATGGAAGACTGTTCTGTGGTCAGATGAGTCACGATTTGAAGTTCTTTATGGAACACTGGGACACCATGTCATCCGGACCAGAGAGGACAAGGATAGCCCAAGTTGTTATCAACGCTCCGTTCAGAAGCCTGCATCACTGATGGTATGGGGTTGCATGAGCGCTTGTGGCATGGGCAGCTTGCATGTCTGGAAAGGCACCATTAATGCAGAGAACTATGTTCAGGTTCTAGAACAACATATGCTCCCATCTAGACGTCATCTCTTTCAGGGAAGACTCTGCATTTTTCAACACGATAATGCCAGACCACATTCTGCAGAAATCACAACATCATGGCTACGTAGGAGAAGGATCCGGGTACTGAAATGGCCAGCCTGCAGTCCAGATCTTTCACCTATAGAGAACATTTGGCACATCATAAAGAGGAAGGTGCGACAAAGAAGGCCCAAGACGATTGAACAGTTAGAGGCCTGTATTAGACATGAATGGGAGAGCATTCCTATTTCTAAACTTGAGAAACTGGTCTCCTCTGTCCCCAGACGTCTGTTGAGTGTTGTAAGAAGAAGGGGGGATGCCACACAGTGGTAAAAATGGACTTGTCCCAACTTTTTTGGGATTTGTTGACGCCATGAAATTTGGAAACAACAGATTTTTCCCTTAAAATGATACATTCTCTGTTTAAACTATTGATCTGTGATTTGTGTTCTATTCTGAATAAAATATTATATGTTGGCACCTCCACATCATTGCATTCAGTTTTTATTCACAATTTGTTTAGTGTCCCAACTTTTTTGGAATCTGGTTTGTAAGACTTTTGGTATTGATGCAAGGATTCAAGGTTCTTTATTTGTCATGAAACTGTGTACACAGGGTCCCAGTTACATCCAACAAAAGTATAAAATGTAAATGAAGAACAGTAATAAGATCTAAGATATAAACTAAGAAAAACATTAACTAAAAATACACTAAGCACTAGTAGTACAAAAACAATACGCTGAACAGCAGCACGAACATGAGTCTGTGTGAGCAGATGAGCACGATTGAACACATCAACATGAAACAGATCAGCAGCAACATGATGTGAGTTTTCACAGTGATTATTCAGGTTAGAGATTCATGGGTCTAACAGCATCAGGGTAGAAGCTGTTCCTCAGTCTAGTGGTTCTGCACTTAATGTGCCTCAAACTCTTGCCTGAGGGGAGCGGGGCAAGTGTACCGCAACTTTTAGCTTTTTGAAATATTTAGCCTTTTCTGCCATTTTTTTTTCTCATAGAAAATGAATTTAGCTCATTTTACGTCCTTCAAAGCTTTAGATGCGTTTACAACCTTTTACTGTTCCTTTCATGTTTTGTTCTGGTTCAGCTTCTTTTAGAGTTCTTGTGCAAATTTAAACTTTTTTCAGCTACTTTCAGCTGTTTTCCCCTGTTTTGTGATCCTTTTAGATTCTTTCTGCTAACTACAACATTTTTGTGCTTCTTCTAATTTATTTCTGATAATTTCAGCTTGTTGTGCTCCTTTCTGCTTATTTATGCAAGTTTTGGCTTTTTCTGCCATTTCAGCTACTATTTAACAGTTTTATGCTAATTTAACTTTTTCAGCTAATTCCACATTTTTTGCACTTGTTTTAACTTTTCTCAGCCTAATTCAGCAAAAATGTGCTCTCTCCATTCTGGTAATTTAAGCTTCTTTCAGCATTTTTAAGCTACCATACCTTTCAGCAGTTTTATGCTAATTTAGCTAATTTCAGCTGGTTTCAAATAAATTCAAGTTTTTCATGGTAATTTCTGCTCCTTTCAGCCTAATTAACTTTTTTGTGCTAATTTCAGTTTGTTATGCTCCTTTCTGCTTAGTTATGCTAGTTTCACTTATTTCAACTACTTTTTAGCTGTTGTATGCTTATTTTAGCTTTTTCAGCTAATGTCACAGTTTTTGCACTTTTTCAGCCTAATTCAACAAAAATGTGCTCTCGCCACTTACTTCGGCAAATTTAAGCTTCTTTCTGCTATTTTAACTACTTTTCAGCATTTTTTTTTTTTGCTAAATTCAGCTTTTTTAAGATAATCTCTGCTTCTTTCAGCCTAACTGGGCATACTTGTGCTCTGTCCACTTCCTTCTGGTAATTTAAGCTTTTTTTTTTTTCCTACCTTTTCAGCTACTTTTCAGCTTATTTTTGTTGTTGTTTCTAATTTCAGCTTTTAGAGCAAATTTACTAAATTTTCTGCACATTTCTGCGTATTTAAACCAAATTCAGCAAATATGTGTTCTTTCTGCTTCTGCTAATTTAGGCCCAATTCAATTTCAGCTACAATTCAGCATGTTTTTAGCTAATTTCAGCAGTTTTTCTGCAACTTCTTAAACGATAAGCGTTCACACTGCATTTTCGCAGGAAATGCAATTTCTCTAGTCATTTCTGTATCTTATCGGATGAGAAGCAGCCGAGAATGTGCTCCTTTTCTCAGCAGGTTTTGTTCGCCTGAGGTAGCAGGGTGATCGAGCTTTCATGGAACTTTGTCTCTCTCAGGTCCCAACAAGTACGACGAGGCTGCCGCTTACATCCAGACCAAATTTGAGGACCTGAACAAGAAGAAGAAGACGAAGGAAATCTACACCCACTTCACCTGCGCCACTGACACCAAGAATGTCCAGTTCGTGTTCGACGCCGTCACCGACGTCATCATCAAGAACAACCTGAAGGACTGTGGTCTGGGCTAAAATCGTTTCAGAGTCATGGTGAGTCAAACACATTTACTGCACGCCATTCAGACCTTTGTTATACATGACTGATTTCTGTTTTTGCTTGTTTTAGAGTACTTGAACAGTTCTGGTGACCAGGATAGGGAGGAGACGACACATCATAAATGACTGCACTGTCCAACCACGACTTCTGCTTTGATCTGCTTTTTTAAAGACACCTAAGAGACTGAAAACCCAACAAGCCTTGCAGATTTTCAACCGTCGCCAACCCAGCTGCTTGTATTAACTCTTTAAGCTTCAACCACAAAAAATAAAAAAAAATAAAAAATCAGAAAAGGAAAAAAAATAAGTCTTATTCTGTTTTTTGTTTATTTTTGCTTCTTTATTTTCAATTACTAGAGGATGGACAGCATACTTTTTTATATAAATGCATAAATTTTACTTTTAGATTCTCATGTCCAAAATAATAAACTTTTAATCACGAGAAACTTATTTTTCTTTTTCTTTTCTTTGTTTTTCCCCTTTAATAAAGCACCAGCATGGACAAAACATAAGATCAGTAGAAGAAAAGTGCTTTTATTTTATTATTTTTTATAATGTTTACATGGGTTGATCATTCATAGCCAGACCGTGTATTGTTCTGCATGACTCCACGTGACCAATATTCGCTCTTTAATCTGCACAAAGTATCTAACATTTCTACAAAATGATTTAAAAAAAAAAGTTAAAAAGACAGAAAAAGTTTTTCACCTGAACGATAATGGGTGGGACAAAATTCTAACAAATATTTAAAGTATATGTGTTCCTAATGTTCTGTCACTTTTTTATAGTACCTTTCTGTGTCTTTTACAGTATGTGTGTACTTTTACTTTTGTTTACAGCCACTTCTTAGATGTGCTTTCATTACTGTTTGTCCTACTGTGCCATTTGAAATTTTCTTATTTTTTCACAGCCTAGAAGTTATGAATATATAGTGATTATTAACGAGACAACAATCTAATTCAGAAAAAAAGGTTAGTGTTTTTGGGTAATATAAAAAAAACTGCTTTAAAAGTTCTTTTAAGGTTTAATTTAAATAAAAGTAGAAATCACTCTTGCATATTGTTTTTCTGGCTCTTTGTTCCGCGTATGTTTTCCTGCAGCATTGTTCCTGTTCATCTGGTCCAGATGACACAATTTAACCTTTTTGTATTATCTACCTGGATGATTGAGCTTACAACATTTTTTTTGTACCATAACTTGTTTCAGTGGATTTTTTTTTAAATTACAAAGTGCTAAATTATTTGTTAATATTATTATAACATGACTTCATACACAAGTCAGAAAAGTTACAAATATGACTGTTCAGAATTAAGACTAGTCTATATTTAATTCTACATAACTTCAGCTTTTGACACAAAATAAATGCTGCAGAGATTCATGACCCTGACTACTGCTCGTTGATACACAAACATTGATCTTGAGCCATTCATCAACAATTCTATTTTAATCAATTTATGACAGATTTTTAAAAATCTCTTTGTAACCATTAGAGCTCAATATGCCCCTGCCTTATATTCAAAATAACTTTTGTAGATCTGTTCATGACTGGTTCTGATCCCAGCTTTGTAAGAAACTGCAATGAACAATCCGCTCATTTCAAGCTGTTTATATATTCCATACTTGGATTATTGTTCTCTAAAGCAGGCAGTGTGCACTTTCTGCAGACTTGTATCTCCCTCTGCTGGACACTGCTTCAGTGGGTGTTCCATGAAGATTGTCCCACATCTGCTGCACTTCTCTCCTTGGGCAGAGACAACAAACGGCCTCTGTCACAGTAACGGAGTGAGGATGCTGAGAACGTTGGATTTGCTCATTTAAATCGTCAGATCTGAGGTGGACACATGTTTCTGGTGTGTCTGGTGACATCACCTACAGTGGTGCTTGAATGTTTGTGGACTCTTAACCGATTCTCGCACAAGTCCTACAACTAGATAAAGAGAACCCAGTTAAACAAATGAGATAAAAAAATATTTTATTTGACCTTTTATTTATTGAGGAAAATGATAAAGTATGAACCTCTAGGATTAGCTGTTAATTTGAAGGTGAATTAAGAGTCAGGTGTTTTCAATCAATGTGATGATGATCAGGTGTGAGTGAGCACCCGTTTGATTTAAACAACAAGGATCTATCACAGTCTGCTCTTCACAACATGTTTGGGGAAGTGGATCATGGCTGGAACAAAGGAGATTTCTTGAGAACCTCAGAAAAGAGTTGTTGATGCTCATCAGGCTGGGAAAAGGTTACAAAACCATCTCTGAAGAGTTTGGTCTCCACCAATCCACAGTCAGACGGATTGTGTACAAATGGAGAAAATTCAAGACCCTCCCAGGTAACGATTCGTCTCATCAGGAGAACACTGAACAACATTAGTGTCATGGCAGGGCTGAAGGAGGAAACCACCATTCTCCAAAAGGAACATTGCTGCTCGTCTGCAGTTTACTAAAGATCATGTGGACAAGACTGTTGGAAGAATGTTTCGTGGATGGACGAGACCAAAATAGAACTTTTTTTTTTTTTTAAATGAAAAGTATTATATTTGGAGAAAGGAGATCACTGCATTCCTGCGTAAGAACCTTATCTAATATGTGGAACATGGTGGTGGTAGTTTCATGGTTTGAGCCTGTTGTGCTGCATCTGAGCCAGGACAACTTGATGGAGCAATGAATTCTGAATTGTATCAGATAATTCTAAAGGAAAATGTCAGGACATCTGTCCATGAACTGAATCGAGAGAAGGTGGGTCATGCAGCAAAACGATGACCCTCAGCACACAAGTCATTCTACTAAAGAATGGTTCAAGAAGAATAAAGTTCATGTTTTGGAATAGTCAAAGTCCTGACCTTAATCCAATCCAGATGTTGTGGATGGACCTGAAGCGAGTTAATGCGACGCTCTTTGATACGAGTGTTGATGCTGTTGTGGAGGAGCGTGCAGCTGCTCTCATTAGTTATTAATACCTGCAACTGTAATTCTTGATGGCTCATAAAAAATGCCAGAGAGTTTGAGCTTTTTACTCTGAGTGAGACGGAGCGTGAACGACAAGAAGCTCCTGAAATTCACTCCATGGACATTTTCTCATCTGGACCCATGTGAATAATGGAAGCTTTATTTGGACTTATTTTAAATACCAAACGCGTATTTTCACCGTAATAATAAATGAACGTTCATACTTGGCAGGGTGCAGGGTTGATTCCCAGCTGTTTAGTAAAGCTTCAGCTGCTCTTGATTTGGATGGAAGTTTCTCTAGAGGGTGCTGCAGCTCTTTGTCTGAACTTTATTGCAGCTCGGAGGATCAGAACCCAATAGTTCAGTCATTGTTTACCCAGCGTTAAAAAGGCTGTTGTCCTTGTAGGCTTTTAGAAAAATTCTCAAAGATGGGTTTTAATGTATGCTGAAATCAACCAGCCATCACTGATGCAAGGAGTTTTAAGCAATAAATTAAAAAAGCCACACATTTAAGACAATAAATAATCTTTCATCCAGTCCAGACATCCAGAGAAAGCCTGCCTTTGACCTTTAAGGATGTATTTAAAGGTGAAAGTCTGAAAGAACAGAAACGTGCTCGGTCAGGAACAAACACATGGTTAATTGGGTTTCTTTTGTTTTTGACTTGTTGCACCTGAGCACTCAACAAAACCCTGCACATTTGGGACATCCATGCCAACAGAAAACTGTCCTGCGCCAAATCATTAGAATATAATAAGATCTTCTTTGATGGGTGTGGATTTTGAATTAAATGGGCTTGTTCTTGTTATTTAGGACTTAAGGGACATCTTTGGCTACAGGTGATGGAGCCTTCAACGAAGCTTTGTGTGATTAAAACCATGCATGATGTGGTCTAATAAGTACTGCACTTATTAGAGAGAAATGACACATTTCATTGAATCAGTCTGTAAAGTTGCCTTTACATGATAATCTGCGTTCGTTGGTCACATTGCTTCAAGCAGACATGCCAGTAAATGCTGGACTGGGTGTGAGGACACATCTGCAACTCAGCAGCAGGTCATCAGACCTTACTGCCAAACAGTAAGGTGCATTCCTCTTTACTTCAATGGATTTGCATAAACATTCAATTTTGTGGCTCAGTGCTCCTTTATGGTCCAGATTATTCAATTTACATTGGTGGCACTTGGAGATGGTAATTTATAATAAACCTCCAGCTGGAATTAAAGGTTCAGTTGGTTACAAAACTTGATTGGTGTATGGGTTTGTGCCAAACAATGTTTTAATTAAAATAAAAGATTAACAAATGAAAACAAAATGTGATAAATGAGCTGAATTTTTAAGAAAGCTGTAACTTTACCAGACATCAGCGGTGATTCAACAGACTACTTGGGAGTTAAATATTTTCTGACCTAATAATAAATCATTTAAATAAACCAGAGGGACACATGACCAAAACTAATATAGAAATTTAAAATACTTATAAGAATGATAAGAAAAACTTGTTTTAGCAGTTTTTCTGTCCAAATAAATGATCTAGGTAAATAAAATGTTCATGACATAATGATGCTGATAAGACGAGGAGAAAATGTATTAGTTTGGAGAGTTAATTTGTTAACATGTTCCTTTCCTCTGAAATTCACTAAAACTAAATGTTTCACACATTTGGTTAAACTTACTGAAGGAAAGAAAATGCACATGTTAGCACACACACACCATGATTACTGCATTATGAATCATTAAAATAAAACTGTAAAAATGGACAAATCATTGAGAATTAAATGTTAAGGTTATGAAAAATACTTAAGGTAAAGTAAATCAAGGTCTCTTTATGCCACAAATAAACACTTGATAAACTGGCCAGTTTATTTTAATTTTTTTCCTCATATATTGAACAAACTGGAGTAAATAAACCAGAATGAGCCTGCTGTGCGCTGATTGGCTCATTCAGACTCCAGTCGCTGTTGATTGGCTGAGGTGTAAAAAAGGAGGCGGGGCTGAAAGCTTTACTCAGCCTCGCATCATTCATCCTCACTCTTCCAGCCTAAGGTCTGCTCTGCTGAAGGACTCAGTGACACTGCGACATCTCCTAACGAAACTTTTCATCTTTTTATGGAACTTTTATCTCGAGCTGAACCAAGGAAGTCACATTTTAGAGTAAGTATTCATGTTATTTGGTGTTAGCTTGGTTAAATATGCTGCTGTTTTCTTATTTTCCAGTACATTAAGTGTGTTTTTAAATGTGGACTTGCATTTGTTTTTGCAGAAAGTGACTACTACGACTAAGAAAAAGACACAAAAAGCATGGTGAGCTTACTTTATAGTTTATGTATTCCTTCTGGGTTGTGTTTGTATGAAAGTAAACAACAAACAGTTTAGTTTATCCTGGTCTGCACACAGTTACAGTCTTTGGGCCTGAGGAGGAAACATCTGCCAACACACAGCTCTGCAGGAGGCATGAGCACGATGCTCTGACTCTTGTAGTTTGTCCTTTAGGGTTTCTTGGCTTTTTACAAACTTCATTTAGCAGACGAGGAATTATGAATCAAACTGCAGCTTATTTGCATTTAATACATTTTGCATCACAGCTGTTTTATCAGCAACACTTGTACAAATACGGTGGCTTCGATTTAAAGGTTTGTTGCTGCTGCAGTCCTTTCTGTAGCAAGAAATGAGTGAAACGTATGGCTCTGCCGACTGATTTTACTTTTTATTATAGTGGGAGTGTTGGCTAAAGTTCTTGTGCACATTATAGACATGTTTTTCTCTCTGCATAGTTTCACACTGACAAAAAGTCTACTTTATTACAGAGAGTGGGGCCTCATTTTACTCGTATTCTTTACCTTTCATATGTTTATTGTCACATGATCCCTTCTGCCGTTTTGAGTTTGAGGGTATAAACCAGCCTCGCTCACTGGCTGCTCCTGACCAATGGGCTCTGTGAGTCTGAGAGGAAGCAGCTGTAACATATTCCTCCTGAGTGTCGCTGCTGAACCTCATAAGCAGGAATGCTGCTTCGTTGAAGCGACCAAACCCAGAAAGCTACTTTGGGATCCGCTTAGACGTTGCTTTATTATTGTCTCATTGTGATAGTAAATAGTAGATGAGGTTGAGCTCAACCTCTGTCTGTGCTCTCAGCTGATTCAAACTCGGATCAGTGAAATTAAGGCGTTGCTGGTGCGGTTGAGTAAATTAACGGACAGATAAACATGCCCTGTTATGAAATCTGCTGTTTTCTTTGAGCGGCAGGTCAGCCGGATTTAAGATGTCAATGGAAGAAAAGGTGGCATCGCTGATTTGAACTTGCTCCAAACGTGTCTGAGCCTGCCTAGAAAGCAGTCCTCCTTTTTATTCAAGCCTAACTGAAAGGTGTAGACATTTCCAGTAACCTTCCTCTGCAGGCTTTGTGTGAAGAGGTTCGTTGAATGACTCTTCCTCTCTTGTTTCCACAGCTTTGCCTCCGTGACCCAGGCGGCTGCTTACAGGAGCAGATGCAGTACATGATGAGGTCGCTTCAGGATCTGAAGCGACTGCGAAAAACCTGCCCTGAAGCCAGGCACCCCCTCGCCCCTCTGAACGCCCAGCTCCCGGCCTTAGTGCGTCACTCCGCCTTAGCGCGTGCTTGTCAGCAGCGAGCGCTGCAACGAGAGCAGCGTGCACGCCTGCGGATATCCAACGCCAGCACGGCCAGCACCTACGATTCTGCCTGCTGCCTGGCGAGCCCTCTGGAGGAAGAAGATGAGGAGGAGGAGGAGGATGCGAGCAGCCGGTTGAGCCTCAGACAGGATCTGCGCTCTCCCAGCAGTCAGAAGAGTTTAGAGTTCGATTCGGGCTACTCTGAAGCTTCCTGGAAGGACGATGGCGTTGTCCTCAGGAGGACGAGGAACGTGCGCGTCTCATCGTCTGCCTGCCTGAGGACGAACAGAGCTCAGAGCGGGCGGATTCGACCGAAATCCACCTCTGACGCCTGTCTCGAAACATGGACTTCATTTGAGGTCGGTGATCCAGAGGACTGGACAAACTCCTTGCTGACACGAGGACGCAACCGCCAGCCTTTGGTTCTAGGTGACAACAGCTTTGCAGACCTCATACAGAACTGGATGGACTTACCCGATTGTCCTGAAGCCGCAGAACTTCAACCAAATTCAAGACAAAAACTGGGAAGAGGCTTTTTTGGCAATATGCGAAGGAAACTCACTGGATTTTCAAAAAGTGTGGAGGACAGAGTGAGGATGAGGTCCACAGACTCCTCTTGTGTTGACCGAGCTGCCACTGCCTCCAAACGTCTGTCCTGTCCTGTTGTGGCGTCGCAGCCTAAAGTCCCTTTCTTCCATCAGTCCCATTCAGGCATTAATGAGATGGACACAGACTTCTACCACTTTGCAGCCATGATGAAGTCTGGCAGCCGACAACCAATCATATGCAAGGATATTATTGGCTACATCTGACGGAGCTTAATTTATAAAACGGACTTGAAAATCCTCAGTCACTTTACTTTTATGCTATTGTTTCTCACTTTTTATATGGAATTGTTAAGCTATTGAAAATAAAGACGTTCTCACAGTTTAAACCCACATATTTCTATTTATGTTATAAATATATTTTGCATGTGACACAAAAAGTATAGCCGATTTAATTTAGAATGCAGCATAGTGAGGCTGTGACTCGTTCAAAGAAGCTTTCGATGACTGAATGTGGATTCACCTCTTTTCTTTATATTTGCAACACACTGGCTTATGTCTGAGTTTGAGGCTTCCTGCTTCAGTGTAATTGTTTTATAAAAGAGATACATCCAAATAAAGATGATATCACACCTCTGCAGATTTTTTGACATTTTAATACTTTGTTTTCTGAGACATTCTACTGGATAACAGGGGGTTTAGTGTTTCCTGCATAAGTCTTGTTTGCACTCAAGTGAAACTCAGAGAACCTATAAATGGAGGCTTTTTGCAGGCCAGGACCAGAAGCTGTGTCAACACAAAGCACTGTGTCCGATGAAGTCATTCTCTTGTGTGCAGTTGTTGAAGGTGAAAGAGTCAAAACAGCTGGTAGCAGATGTAGAAGTTTGCTCTCCGGTTTGCTTTGTGAAGCAGAACGTCTTGCTAACAGCTCTGCCTCATTAAACCCGGTGTCTGCTCTTGTTGCAGAACCCGCTGAACCGCACACATCGGCTAATGGTTCAATTAAGTCTGGACACACAAGGAAAGAGGACACAGACAGAAAATGGGTTTAATGCATACACTGAGATAAGCTAATGATCACTTCACCTTTGCCTTTACAAATGATCTTTGTTCATTAATTTAAGGGAAAAACAGAACGAGACAGTACAAAGATAAAAACAGACATTTCCCATGCTCCCCTCTGCAGCAAGCCTCACCAATCATGTGTTCTCTTGAATATATGGGACATTAGAAAAAAAAGTAAATTTTTCACACCATTTGTCTAAACCTTGAATGTTTAGGTCATTTAGAGTGGTAACATATCATTGAGGTACTCAGAATAAACTCTTATCAAGAAAAATCCAGATTTACACAAAAGGATTTTGCCTGGTAACCCCCAGATAATCTTTACTGCAACATGCATACACTTTATATACATCTTAATTTATATGAGTACAGTTATCCTAACATGTAAAAAAAACCTCACTGAAATGTCTAGGAGGGATGGCAGTGAGGTTTTTGACTCAAATATTCAATGGCATATTTAAGGGTGAGAAAACGTCTGAGGAATGGAGAAGATGTGTACTGGTGCCCAGTTTTAAGGACAAGGCTGATGCACAGAGTTGTAGTAGGGGAATTTGATTGAGTCACAATAGTTGTGGAAGCAAGACTTACATGAGAGGTGACTATTTGTGAGCAGCAGTATGGATTCATGCTGAGAAAGAGCACCACAGAACACCATCTTTGCTTTGAGGATGCTGATGGAGAAGTACAGAGAAGGTCAGAAAGAACTCCATTGTGTCTTTGTAGATTTAAAAAAAAGCATATGACAGGGTGCCGAGGGAGGAGGTGTGGTATTGCATGAGGAAATCTGAAGTGGCAGAGAAGTATGTTAAATGTACAAGACACGTATGACAGCAGGACAGTGGTGAGATGTTCTGTCGGAGTGACAGACAGCTTCAAGGTGGAGGTGGGAGTGCATCAAGGATCCACTCTGAGCCCCTTCTTGTTTGCTCTGGTGATGGACCGACTAACAGATGAGGTCAGGCAGGAATCCTCATGGACTGTAATGTTTGCGGATTACACTGTGATCTGTGGTGAGAACAAGGAAGAGGTGGAAGAGAACTTGGAGAGGTGCAGGTATGCACTTGAAAGAAGAGGAATAAACGTCAGCTATAGTAAGAAGAAGAAGACATCCTAACATGTCAAACCACATTCACAGACATAAACATGCTTTTATGGGATAAATTGATTAAATTACCAGACATATCTTCGAGTTCACCAAGCCGACTTGTGTTTTTGGTTTATTTATTTTTTTAATGCAGAAGGACTCACACAAACGCATTAGCTGGAATTAATCACGAGCCCTCAGAGGGAAACCCCCCAGCAAGTTGGATTATCACTGACGTTCAAGTGAAACTGATGTGAGACAACCGCAGAACGTCAGGTTTAAATCTTTGTGTAGCAATATTTGTTAGATTACTTGTTTTCCTAATACAAGTTAAAATCCAAATCACATTAGCTCCTAAATGAAACTTATGTTTTATCTAATCGTCTTGGCTCCTGACCACTGCAAACATACTCTATATAAGTGCTGTAGTCATGTCCACCGAATTCCTTTAACTCTAGATGCTACATTTTATTCATTTTATAAACGCATGGCATTCTTTTCTATGTGTCTTAATCTTCAATGCTGTTTGAAATTATTAAAGACACATAGAAAAAGAATGCCATGCGTTTGCTGAAGCTGTAAATTCTTTAGGTAGATTTTGTATATATGCAAAGTCTCTTTTCTTATCTTTATGAGCAGCATTTCATTCTCTTTTTGACAAAAATATCGCCATCGTTCATTAGGTCGTCAGTGAACAAGAGTGTCTTATGACTTATATTGAATATGCAAACATGTCTAGTAAAAGAGCTCTATCACGATTGGAAGCTTTCACTGCCGCCTTCTCGGGGCCTGTCAGCAGTCAGATGTAAATAAACATTTTCTTTAGAAGCCCAACAAGTCCAGTTTGTTCACCAGTAAGGAGTAGCTTAAAAAGACCTCCATGGATAAGACTTATGCTGGCTGTCTTGTCAACATAAAGATCACTAATCTGTTTATGGTGTTAAAGCAGATTTGTTAAAGTGTCACCCACCAACTGGGTGGTCCGGTATAACATGGCTGGCACAGAACATTTCTCTTGTTAATTAGAAGTTACATTTGGGATTTTATATGCTCCTCACTATTATCACAGCTTATGCTCACTCATCCTTCTCTCCTGTCATTTGTGATGTAAATACAATAGATTAAAAAACTAAACGAAAATGGTGATAAAGTCTGGCAAACTCCTCTGCTCTGTTATTTCTCTGTGTTGACCGACACAAGCTCTAATTAGAGCTCTGAGCTGCAGGATTAGTCAGCTCCAAAGCCCATAGTTGCTCTACAGATTTAAAATTGTCCGTGCATGCATCTGTTTTTAAAGTTTATCAAGCTATGATGAAGGATGAATGATGCTTTCAATGTTTCGTGTCTTCACCGCTCAGATGTCAGCTAACAGGAGAGAAGCGCACGCTCAGGTGAACAGTATAGTGGACTAGGCCTCCGACCAAAACCTGCCTCTGAAGACCTTCATGGGATAGGAACTGTTATTTCATTGATTTGAATCCAGAAATACAAATTAGCTCATCCAGAGACTTTCCAATTGTATCCTGAACTAATAAATTGAAAGAACACTCTCTTTTTTATATTATCATTACTATTTTACAATATCTTGATAATCAAAAACAACAGGGTGAACACAGTTTGATGACTTGTTCAAGTTTTTTCTCAGAGGGATGAAAACGTGGGTAGAAATGGTCAAAACTGGAGAACGAACAATGGTTTGTGATGAAATAAGTCCAGACACTGCGCTTTAAAATGTTCCAGGTGAATGTGAATCAGCGCCAACAATGATCTGCGATGTAGTGTTGTAGTACTCGAGACCGGTCTTGGTCTTAAGACTGGTCTCAAGACCTCTTTTTGCTGGTCTCGGTCTCGTCTTGGACTCGACCGCATATGGTCTCGGTCTTGTCTCGGTATCGGACATTGAGGACTCGAGATTTGATTTCAAGACCAGTCAAGACCACAACTCTGGAAATATCACTAAATTGCCAGAATATTGTCCAGTTTATTTATTAATATCCTTGTTTTTATTGGATGCAAAACGTATTGATTCAAATCCAAGTGATAATGTGACTCATTGCTAAATACATGTTTTGTTACTGCTGTCACGCCCACCCCCTTTCACTCGCACACGCCACTCCCAGTGTGGCCAGATTGGGCAGTTTACTGCCAATTGGGCAGTTTTCATTCTGATTTAGCTGGGAACTCTGGGAATATTTTTGTTGGATTGTTGTGTTTTGCCACATACAGTATTGTTAAATTACCTTGGCTTGTACTGATGTGCGGTCATGTTCAAACAGTAAATATACTGTAACAATATATTGATTGGGTGGATTTTTGTCTGATATGGTGGTTTTTAACAGATTTTTGGGCTGGAAAACCTCGACTCTATCTGGCAACACTGGTCACTCCAAGAAAATGAGAAGTGATTGTCTGGGCGTGGGAGAAGCTATCTGCCAAATCATCAGTTATAAAATTTGGCTATTTAAATCACAAATAATATACTTATGACTAATATGGTCATCCTTGGTCTTAAGTTTGGATTTATGAAGAGTGTTTTGCCACTGCAGTTTTTTAAGGCTTGGCATGTGATGAAACTGCTTCCAATTTAACAGTTGTGTAATTTTATTGTTGAAACACGTGAAGTTAGGCCACTGAATGTCTGATTTCTTTGTTATGTAGCTTTGAAACTTTTTAAAAGCTTATATATCCATTCAAAAGCAAACTTAAAGTTGCAGTATGTAACCGTTATAAAAAATATTTTATAATAAAATTTTATATTTGATTTATTTTATTTGAGGTCTTGGTCTCGACTTGGTCTCGGACCCTAAAAGTCTTGTTCTTGTCTCAGTCTTGGTACTCTGGTCTTGGTCTTGACTTGGTCTCAGGTTAGGTGGTCTTGAACACAACACTACTGCGATGATGGTAGACAGTGAAAATTAACTTTCGTCAAAGTTCAAAATAAAACACTTCAATAATTCTATTTTTTTCTTCAGCTATAACCAATAAATATGTTATAGCTCTGTAAAAAGGATTTTTTTTAAACACAATTTTGTGGTATTCTCAATATGTTGTAAAGTCTAAAAGACCATTTTTGTTTCCCATTGTCCTACGAGGAAGCAGCTGACTCTGGTTTTCACGGCCCACGGTTGATTTTGATGCATTAGGAAACAGTTACTT